CTCCATTAGCCTTTAGAGGCATTACAATGGGGGTTTCCCATGGACTAGAGTCCACGGGTTCTAAGATGCCTTGCTGGAGCAGCTTGTCCAGCTCTGCATCAATTTTGCTTTTGAGAGCAAAAGGCACCCTTCTCGGCTTAATCCTAATGGGTGTGATAGCTGGGTCTAAGTGTAGGGCAATGGGAGGCCCCTTGTATGAACCAAGCTCTGTGCTAAACACATCAGCAAACTCCTTGCAGACTTCTGCAAGGCCTAACGTTTGCAGGCTGTGAAGCCCAGTCATTTGGATCCCAAGGGCCTCGAACCAATCGAGTCCAATGAGACTCGTGCGATCACCCTCAACTACCACCACATCTAGTAGGCCTTCAAAAGCCTTACGCTGCACTTTGAGCGTAGCCTCCCCTTTCACGCTGACTCTGGAATTCTTGAAGTCAGTGAGAATTAAGTTCGATGGCCTGAGTTTGACTCAAAGGCCACTACTGCTGCAAATCCTTTTGAAGGTGTCATGTGAAATGATCGATAGAGTGGACCCTGTGTCCAACTCCATTGATAAGGGAACCTCTTGCAACTTCACGTCAATGAGAAGCTTTTTCTTAAGGGGCTTGTGTGTCTCTGTCTTCAAAATGCTCCTGCGCGATGCGCAGAAACCCACCCTATGTTGGCTGGGGACCCTGGTACCTTTCTGAAGCAATTCTTCCCGAGATTGAACCTTCTGGCGACCCAAACAAACGGAGGCAATGTGGCCTTGCCTTCCACATGCCCGGCAAATGACGGAGCGGAATCTACAGTCAGAGTGCTTGTGGTGTCCTCCCCACCCGAAACACTGAGGAGATGCTGAGGCCTTGTCTGGACACTCCTTCGGCCTTCTCTCTGCTGGCTGGTGCAGCCTGTCCACCTCCTCTTCAGGATCCTGTTCTGGATCTTCTCGAGCAACCTCTTGATGGGGAAGGGGTTCCTTGGCCGAGCTCACTTCCAGCGATGCTGTACTGGCAGGCAGAGTCGCTGTGCTGGATGCCGAACTTCCCAGGACTTCTTGGTAAGTCCTCTCTTCTTTTGTTGTTAAATGTTGCTTACAGCGATCCCACCTTCGTCACCACTGTTAGATTCGCAGGTTGGAGGCATTAAAAGGAGACACATAGTGTAACAACAAGTCTTCTTTATTGTTCTCTTCCACAACCAGCAACAGCAAAAATGGCGCGCAGGCCTTTTATAGTGTCCTAGCCCCAGACAACGTCAGCCAATGAAAACCAGGCTGTTTTCGCACCTTGCGCATGCGCACAAGGCTGGAGACAGCCAGTCTGGTCCTGAGCAGCTTTTGGTCTGCCCGGGACCCTTTGCAACATTTCTGAGCCTGCTAAATGCTCCAGCAGGCTCAGGACATAACACCAGCCACATAGGTCCCATTCAACTACACAATTAAACCAGCTGATCAAGCTTATATGAGGCAGAGATCATGTCACTGAAGGCTTTTTCTACATCCTCTCTAAGAAGCTCAAAATCTCAATTGACCAGACACTTGCCTTCAGAAGTTGTGCGTTCTCCCTCACTGGAGGTTTTTAACATTGGACAGCCATTTGTCTGAAATCGTATATGGCAGGAGTCCCCAACCCATTGGCCACAGCCCGGTACTGAGCTGTGGCTTGTTCAGAATTGGGCCACACGAGCAGCAGGCGAATGCGTGTATGCAGCTCCTTTTGCATGAGTGCGAGACACTCTTGTCTGCATGAAGCTCTATTTGTGTGAGCAGTGGGTATGCCCACTTTACATGCACACCGAGTGCCCACTACTTGTGCAAATGGAGCTTCACTTGCATGTGCGAGTGCTCATTACTCGTGCAAATGGAGCTGCAAATGCTTGCACCTGCCACTCACACAAAACCATTTCCTCTCCCCCCCACCAGTCCACAAACCTGGAAAGGTTGGGGACCACTGGTCTATGGTCTCCTGCTTGAGCAGGGGTGAGACTAGAAGACCTCCAAGATCCCTTCCACCTCTGTTATTCTATTATTCTGAAGTGATAACTGATCCAGGAAAGCTTATGCAAAAAGAATTGGTTCATCTGGCAGGTGCTATATTATAAGATTATTTGGAATGTTTGTTCCCAAGATTAACACAGCTACACCTGTGAAAATTAGAATATGTCATTCTGAAATCTTCTGCTTCATCCTCTGGTTTCTGGTTTATTTGTTCATACTTTGTAGTCGTTATCTGGGAATTTTCCAGTTGTAGTTTCAATTTGGGGATTTGGTCATTTATATCATCTAGCTAATTTTTAGTCTCATTATGTTTTTTTATGTCACCTTTGTGTGCAACAATTGTTTGGTGAATTAGCTGTAGCATGGAGAATATTTCCTTCTGAAAGGTATTTGTTTTTTCTTGAGGCATCATTTCTAGAAATCCTCTAGTGTCACCAGTCTCAGTAAGAGTGGAACAAAGTTTCCTCTAGTTTTTTAGTCTTTATATGTAGCCTTTATAATGCAGTCCTAATGGCAGTATTTTATAGTAATCCTTTTTCTCAAGTATCCTGAAAATTATCAGTCAGGTAAGGTTGTAATCCACAATGTTTCAAGTGTTCAAAATGTTCAACCTCCCTGCAGACAGATGTATTTAAAAGTCATTTTTTTCTTTCTCTCACACTAGCTCTTGAGATTAAAAGTCCAAGCTCAGTAGGTATTTATAGTCCAAGAAGGTCAGGATGATAAATATGCCAAAATATTTTCCTTTATTGCCAACTGTTCTCCCTTCAGCTGAAAATCACCAAGTAGCCAAGGGGCTAGTTATAGTGCTATTCTCAAATCCACCACTAGATGTCATTCAAAGTCCATTTTTCACTCTTAAAACAAAGGGTTGATTTCTTATATTTCTTATATTTCACCTCAATGATTTTTTTTCAAATAGAAAATCTTAACAATTATCTCAGTTTTCAAATTTATTAAAACTGTAGCTTTGTATTACTTTCACTTCAGTATTGTTTATTTCTGTCCCCAATAAAAAATTTAAAACACTGCTTCCTTTCACATCCGGAGGTTTTTAGCTTCTTGGGAGCCTTTCCCAGGAAATTCAGTTGTAAAATAGTAAAAAAAGGATCAATATTCTCACCCAGTTCCAAACATGCTGTTTATGATGTACTAATTGAAGATTTTGTTCTTTTGTTGTCAGCAGCTCATGGCCGGCCGCAGAGGTGTGGCCGGTCTTTCCCCTGCTGGTTTAGAGGACTTTCCTTGGATCAAATGGAAAGACCCCATCTCTCCATGATCAACAAGGCACCCCTCCTTCTTCATTGCCTCTTCGGGGAGACTTTAGGCGCTTTTCAGGGCTCCCAGCAGTGTGAAATCAGGCATGGAAGGCAGAGCCCTGCCTTCCTGCATCCGTCTTACCATGACACAAAACTGGCAGAATAATATATATGATTTTCTGCTTGGTTGCCATATCATCCTCTTTTTTTCTCCTTTCATTCACGAAGTTTGCAGAAGTGAAAGAACTTCATAGAACACTCTAATTCTACATTAAATTTTCATGTGGCAATGAAAATTGCAAGAGAACACATTGGATCCTTATACAGTATTGGGACACCCTCCCAAGCCTACAGGTGTGCTGATGGCTCTCACAGCAATGAATTCCTTAGTCCTCTCTTTCCTGGGTTTTTTTTTTTAAATTATGGAGCAAACTAAAACACTACTGAATCCACAGATTACAAATTACTTCCACAACTGGAGGAATTGAGGAAATTTCAGTTGAGAATAATCTATTGATAATTTATTGAGAATAATCGATTTTGAGTGACATAGAAAAGAGGAAAAAATGAAATATTTTCTACTGAGGTATCTCAGTACCAGTTTCCAGAGGACTAGTTCATACTATTATGCGTAAACATATTTTTATTGATTTACTTGTATTTTAGTTCCTAAACTGATATTTATTCTGCTTTGTTCTACAGCTTAGTGGGTGGGAAAGCTGCAATGTTTTCTTTAAAAAAAAACCTGACAAATTACTTTTCTTGCTGTCCTCCATCACCCTCATTCTATCTAACTCTTGTTTTTTGAATCTGAAACATTCCTAAGGCAAAATAAAAGAAGAATAAAAGATATCGCTTCCCTATCCCTCTCACCCTACAGTGAGTGTACCTGCTGTAGACCTAACATGTGCCCATTTGAAGTTAGTGGAGGATTGAATGATTTCTTTGGTATATGGAATGTAAATAGAAAGTTTTGTAAAATTCATCTTTTAGTTGGGAATGTGAGAGTATAAAATATGATTCATATGAAGTATGAAGAAATTAGAGTGATATAGAATTTTTCTATTCTAGAGAATAAAAATTCCTTAGAAAATTGAATACTCTTTAAAAATGTGTTGTGAATTGATCAGAACACTTCATCATTCATGGTGGGCTCTAAGAAAAAATGCACTTGTTATAGCATGGGGGGGAGGGAAGGAGACCAAATATGAGGTTACCTCCTGGATAGCATTGACCTTAACAGAATGCCCAGTGATTTTAGTCTAAAAGGGACATTTGATGGGTTGATAAAATAGTTCTTTAGAAATATACAGTATCTTGAAAATACTGGATTGTAACCTGCAGGAAAAAAATGTGAAATGTATTGTGCTGGTAACTATTCTGTTTCTTTGTGTTTTTACTAACATAATTGGAAGAATATTTGCCTTGGATGGCAACCAGTTGGCTAGTCAACTGGTTATATGATAGGTAGATAAGTCTAACAAGATTATTTTGTGACCAAACTAAAACTGTTTTTCTCACAATGAACCACGTGGTGGCAGTGTTAGCAAAGAATTCATTTCTCTTCCGCATCTTGTTTAATTTCAACAGTAGAAGTTATTCAGTAAAGAGATAAAATTAACAGAGGAATCAGATAAGCACAGTTGATAGAGCAAAGCAACAAATAAAGAAGAATACAAAGGATTTGCAGACTTAAATTGTAAAAGAAGGAAGTTAGAAGTTTTGCACTGGGGCAGAATTTGATCTTCTAATGAAAAATTGGAATCATGGAAAACTGCTTTTGGAGAAGGCAAGGTCTGTATTTCCTTCTCTTTTTCTCATTCTCTAAAGTAATGTGTACTTCAATTTCTTTTTCTATCCCTGAAGAAAAGAAAAAGGGATTTCTAGTGGCTAATGTGCTTAAAGATTTAAAACTGAAAACAAGGGAGCTCACAACACGCAAAGCACATCTAGTTTCTGATGACTCTGAGGAATATTTCCATCTTGACATCCCTACTGGAAATTTGTTGATTTATAATAAAATAGACAGAGAAGCTTTATGTGGCCAGAATGACCCATGTTTACTTTTAACTCAAATTGTACTAGAAAATCCCTTAGACATCTTTAATATTGAAATCAAAATAGAAGATGTGAATGACAATATACCCAAATTTTGGAAAACCAAAGTGGAGATGAACATTCCCGAGAATGTTCCTAAAAATACAACATTCCACCTGGAATCTGCTCAAGATGAGGATCTGGGAGAAAATAGCATTCAAAACTATACTCTCAGTCCTAATGAGCATTTTCAGCTTCAAATACATAAGCAGGAAGATGGGAGTAACAATATGTATCTTGCTTTGAAAAAAGGACTAGATAGGGAGAAGATGCCTCATCTTGGACTGACTCTAATGGCTATTGATGGTGGTATACCACAGAAAACAGGTACAATGCAAATTAATATCAATGTTCTAGATATTAATGATAACTTCCCCAAGTTTAGTAAGTCTGAATATAAGGTAAAAATAAAGGAAAACATTCTTAAGGGAACTTTGGTGACTAAAGTGGACGCTATGGATCTTGATTTGGGTTCAAATGCACAGATACTTTATTCATTTTATCAAGTGCCGGAAAGAATAAATAATTTGTTTCTTCTAAATGAAAAAAATGGAGAAATCACTGTTTGCGGTCAGTTTGATTATGAAAAAGAAAAGACTTATAGCATAAACATCAAAGCCACAGATGGTGGGGGTCTTTCAGAGCACTGCAAGGTATTGATAGAGGTTGAAGATGTGAATGACAACCCTCCAGAAGTGTCCATCATATCTCTGACCAGCTTCTTAAAAGAGGACTCTCTCCCAGACACAATGGTGGCCCTCTTCAGTGTTAGAGACCAAGACTCTGGAGACAACAGCAAAATGGTCTGCTCCGTGGAGATGAACCTTCCTTTTGTGCTCAAAGGCACCACAAACAACTTTTATCAGCTTGTGCTCCAAAGTCCCCTAGACAGAGAGACGGTCACTGAGTATAACATCACCATCACAGCCATTGACTGCGGCTCTCCTAGGCTCACTTCAACAAGACTGATTAATGTTCAGATCTCCGATGTCAATGATAACCCTCCTCTTTTTGAAAAGCCTTCATTTGACATGCAGATCTGGGAGAATAATATTCCAGGCTTGTACATCGGCTCAATCCACGCTGTGGATCTGGACACAAAGCTGAATGCTAAAGTGACTTACTCAGTTCTGCCTGGGAAGGGTGATGGCCTTTTGCCCTCTTTCATTTCAATCAACTCTGAAACTGGAAACCTGTATGCCCTCCGATCCCTGGACTATGAGCAGATAAGAGGCTTCAGAGTTACTGTGAGGGCCTCTGATGGTGGTTCTCCTTCCCTGAGCTCACAAGTGATTGTCCGCATCCACATCATAGATGAAAACGACAACGCTCCCTTCTTCCTGTATCCCCTCCAGAACAACACATCCCCATGCAATGAGCTGGTTTCCAAGTCAGCCGAGGCCGGCTATCTGGTCACCAAGGTGGTTGCAGTGGATGTAGATTCTGGCCAAAACTCTTGGCTTTCCTATGAATTGCTGAAGGCCACGGACCCAGCCCTTTTCAGCATAGGAGTGCAGAATGGGGAAGTGAAAACCAGGAGAGCCCTGAATGAGCGAGACACAAACAAGCAGAGGCTGGTGATTCTGGTCAGAGACAACGGTCTTCCTCCCCAGACCAGCACGGCGTTGCTTAATGTCCTTCTTGTGGATGGCTTTTCGGATCCCTTCCTGAGGAGGGTGGATGTCAGTGTGCAAGAACCGGAAGAAGACAAAGCCTTGACCAAGTATTTGGTGATCTGCTTGGCTGCTGTCTCCTTTGTGTTCCTGGTCTGTATTGTTGTGTTTGTTGTGGTCAAAATCCTCAAGAAGGACCCCCAAAGCCATTTTACTGCAGCTGTTCCTCACTTCCCACCTGCCAGTGCTGATGCCCCAGAGAACTGTGCAGATTCACAGAATGGGTCGCTTCCCAGGACTTACCGTTATGATGTTTGTTTGACTGGTGGATCCTTAAGTAGCGAGTTCCGATTTCTCAGGCCCCTCTTTCC